TTCCCGCGCGGCGCTCCTCGGCGGCCCGCCCGCGGCCCTGTCCTTCGGCCCCCCGGGTCCCCGCGGCTCACGGAAGCCGTCCCGAATTGCGCTGAAGTTGTCAGCGTTAACCAGTTCCCTCCAACTTTGAGCTGCTAACGACGTGTCGGGAGAGCTCTAGCTCTCATCCCGCCCGTGTCGAGTCGCCCGATACCATAGGGTCCTAGTCGTTGGCGTTTTCTCCACTTAACAAGTCTCTTGCGTGTTTAAACGATGATCGAGCCGATCATAAAGACGTTTGATGTGAAAAAGCGTTATGGACACTACTGAGTGACCTAACCGTAGAAGACGTCTGCTTTAAAATTCTTGAAGGTGCAATTCCAGCACAAGCACAAAGGTTTTTTTTTTTCCGACTCTTTTTTTTTTTTTAAGATTGCATGCCTTCCCTGATCAAGTGTTAGGTTAAAAGTTAAAGTTTTAATTCTGACTTTGCCCCCTTGACCCATATTCATTCCCAGTGCTTTGACTAAAATTTAGACTAAGGGGAATATATATCCAGACACAGTAGTATAATTCTCCCTTGGAAAACCTAAAAACTAAGCATCTGGCTTAATCTTAATCTACTGTTCAAATAAGTAGTTACTATTTTTGGTTTCTTCAGGGCCGTATAAAGTTTATGCAAATATATGTTTTTAATATCCAATCCCTTTTTGTCATAGGTAATGTTTTAATACCACTTTTTCAAACACTGTTTAAATTGTTTCTGTATTAAAACATTGTTAATGTTTTGATACCACTTTTTTCAAACACTGTTTAAATTGTTTCTGTTTTCCAGGATGCAGTCTATCTTGTAAAATGTCTACTCTTTACACATAATAGAATCTCCTGTGTTGATGGAAGAGTGGGGTATATTTTTTTCTAGCAAAAATTCCAAAACAAAATCATCAGTCATAGTCACTTGGGTGTCAGCCCAAAGCCAATCCCTGGGGTCTCAAAGACGGATCAAATTTGGATCTTTTTCTCAAGGAAGGAGGGGGTGCATGTCAAGTAAAGGATGATTCTAGTAAAATGCATTAAAATGTGGTAAATGCTGGTACCCTGGGCTCACGGAGGAGCAACATGGAGAACTTGCCTTTAGATGAGATCTCAAATGAACGGGCCAGCTCTGCTGGGGAAAGGCTCCTCTGAGTGAGGGAAAGGCTGAGAACTTGCATCCTTAATGTCGTTATTCTGGGCCATGACTTCTGTCTTGTGCAGTTTTTTTTTCCTTGTTCTTGTGAAAAGCTCTATCAAGTGGCATCTTCACTGTTGCCCTACAAAACTTCAGGCATTTATTCCAGTAACAGCCTCTTTGAGCTGTATTGTAAAAGTCATGACTTTACTTCAAGAAACTTGGTTATTTAACCTTAAAGTTATTCATGTTCTCATTTCAGAGAGACTTGGTGGGGTTTTAGTTTCCAGGAAACAAAATCAACTAAAAAATGATTTCTTTTTAATTTAAGCTAGAAGAAAATGTAGGTTTCTACCAATTAAAAATAATTATTGTATGTTAACAAATTAAAAAAAAAGTTTTTAAAACAACTAATTATTCATTTGAAGTTATGAATAATTTCTAAATCCTAGCATAGATTAGACTTGCTAATATCTTCTGTGATAATAATTCATACCTTTTCTTTTCCATCTTTTCATTTTATTTTGGTAATTCACACAGCAGATTACTAAAGTTTATTGCTACAGAAGTTTTGATTAATATCTAAGCTCTAAGTAACTAACTGGGCATCATGAAATGAAAGCCACCTCTGGAAGTATAGGAATAAGGATTGTTTGGATTATATGGAATTGTTTGGCAGGAGTTTTGCCCGTTCTGAGATTTTTTTTTAAATAGCTCTTCGTTTTCTGGTGACTCAAGATTAATGTTACATACTCGAGTTAGGTAATCTACAGCAAGTCTTATAAGTCAGCAAATATATATAGTAGTACCATTTTCCTCCTGATAGGTCCAGACCTTTCCACTTTTATTGCTACGTAATAATAAATCAGTGGCTAGGCAGTCTTCATGGTCCTTCAGATATCATTGAGGCTCTTCCATCTTAACTCTATTGGCTGTCTCAATGTGTGATGCTTCCTAAAAAATCGAATCTATACAGTAACCTTTCACCTCTGCACATCTAAATTTGGGGCGCGTCCAGTAGATTCCAGTTCATCACGGATCCGGGCCTCCTGCCGTTGCTGTCACACTGGCTGGATCGCAAGACTCGATGCGGGTCGTCCCAAGTATTGGAACAGTGCGAGGGAGAGGGCTTTGTGATAGGGGCAGAAGGAGCAGGTTGAGTTCTCGATAGCTTGTCTTCAGCGTCTTGAAACCAGGAGCATTATGCACTTCAGACCTGGGTTTAGAAATTTCCTGTCACTCTGGCGTTGTGGGTGAGAGAAGCTGGACTTTGTTTCCTGTCTTAGTTAACGACGGCATTTAATGAGCGCTGTGCATAAAGCACGCGCGCGTTGTACCTGGTTCTCGGGACAGTGCCAGATTGGCATTCTCGTGCAACAGAGGGTTCCTGAGACCCTGAGAGGTGGGGTCACTTGTCCAGCCCCGGCAGCTAGTGGCAGAGTCAGGATCTTGACTTTCACTACACCGTGTTGTCACCCTCAAGAGAGAGCATTTCATCGTGGAAGACGTAGGAACACGTAGATTTTACGTTCAGTTTAGTTTTAGACTGATATTTCGTTGAAAAGAAAACAGTAAAGCAGAGAACTTTGAATAAGGAGTTGAGCTGGGTTCCCTTCATTAAAAGAGCATATTTATAGAGGGCAAATTGAAGCCAAGTAGCCCTAAAATATTGCCGGGAAGGAGAGGGTAAGTACTGCCGATAAAAAACGACGGGCCTGTGCTTTTGCGAAATAAAAGTAGTTTGAAAGCATGGGTCGTGTTGATGACATATTTCCATCTGTTTGATCTCTTCCCTGCAAAATAATCTCTTATTTTCCCTTACAGAGTCAACTGTTCATTTTATTTCAAAATCGGAGCATGTCGTCATGGAGACAGATGCTCTCGGTTGCACAATAAACCGACCTTTAGCCAGGTTTGTTTTTTCTTTTTTTTTCTTTTTTTTCTATTTTCGCGTAAATATCAAAATTCGATGTACTTTACAGAGACAGTTAATTTCCACGTATCGAGCGGGTCGTTTTTTTCCCTCTAGTTTTATTTTCCATCTGTGTTCATAGCGAGTGCTCTTTCATTCCGTGAGGATGAGGCAGGGGAGCCACCCCACTGGAGGAACTGAGGGCGCCCTGTTCTCATCACTAGAGACACCTGGTAGAGAGAAGTTGCAGTGTGTGCTGTGAGCTGCGACCGGTCCCTGCACCCTGGTAGACCTGAGTCCGAGGGCAGCCATGCCAGCACTGGCCTAGCATCTTCCAGGCGCGCAAGGGGCGGGGGTGGGTGCGGGGCAGCATGTAGCCTCTGACCGCTGGAGACCTGCAGGCAGTGGAGAGGCTGGCGCGAACGCCCATAGGCCCGTGCTGCCGGGCGCCAGGTTGTCCCGCCCTGCTGTGCCCGCTCTCTTAGATCCCTCAGAGACACAGCGGGTCACATCATGGCACAGAAACGTGAACAGTGAAACACAGCGTCAGAAGATGGGCGTTTGCTTCAGTCCCTCGTAGGCCATCTATTCAGCTGATTGAGAGATGCCCCTTACCTTGGGCTTAGGTCTGCCGAGTTCAGTTCCATCAAAAATTAGGATTTTCAAGAGTTTATTTTTGGTGAATTGAAGATAAGGCAAGAGTTTGCACCCTCTAAGTGATCACTGATGGATTAAAGGGAGAAAACACCTCTGATAGGAACAGAATTTACGCCCATGTTTATCGCAGTGATTGGAATTAGAAAAGGCTATGCTTCAGTCTTCCCAGGCAGGGCTGTCGAGCTCCTCCTAACCGCCCGTGAAGTCCCAGCGTGTCACCTCTGACCGTTGGAGAACTATTGTGTCTGGCCACTGGAGGCTGTCCAACTCCGCTTCTGTTCTCAGATTTTAAATTTCTAACGGAACGGACATTTATGTTTTCTTATATTTAGGAAAATTAGCCAATTGATGTAAGAAAGAGACTTTTTTTCCTAATTTAATCCCGTAAAAAACCCTATAATTTAATTCGTTTTTAGAAGGGGATAACAGCTTCCTTTTCCCCATTATTCCTGATTACCACGTGGTTAGTATAACGAAAATCTTTCAATAGCTTTGAATATGCCTCGATTTCAGAATATTGGAGAACTTGCTTTAAATGTTCTGTTTACGGTAATTTTTGTAAGCACTTCGATTTATTAACTAAATCTCGCCACTAATCCAAAGGCCTTGGATTGGGCACTAACCAAGCTCCTTACGTGTCCACTGAGTTCTTTGGTTTGGGGAGGTTATTTCTAGACCTGCCAAGTGTTGGGCTGAGAGAGAAGTTGCCCCGCCCCCCTTAGTTTTCCTTAAGCTACCTTTGACACCTGGTTTATTTTCTTCGATTCATTGACTACCTCAGAATATTAATGGAAAGTTAACTTGAGCACTTTGGGTCAAAATAAGACAGTGATTCCATTAAAATTTGGTGGAGTTGGTCGTACGTGTTAACTTGAGCACCTTGTTTATGTCATCTTAACCACCCCTGATTTTAATGGAACAGCATCAGCCCCTTTAAGTGAAGGGTCTTGGCGTCAAACAGCCGTGTACCTAAGTGAGACCTAAAATGAATCTTCCTGTTGACTGATTCGGCTCAGGATAGCCATTCACCAGGGTTGTCGCACACTGGTAATTCCAGTTGGAGATAGATGATAAGTCAGCTTTGGAGACACCTGAGGCCCGAGACCAGTTAACTCTTACCATGGTGCCCAGTGGCCCGGGGAGGATGCCCGGCCCAAGCAGGGGTCTGCGTGCCACGTGTGTGCAGCTGGCTGCTGGACGTCCTCTGGTGCCTCTGATGGGGCATTCACACAGCCACGCCCCTAGAAATGCAGCGGGGGTGGGACCACTGAACTCATCTGCTTTGGACACGTGGTGAAACCAGACGTTTATTTTTCTAAATCGTGTGTTTTATTGGTTCAGCTTGTAAATACCTAGTGTAATTCAGTGTGGGTTTCTTTTTAAGCTTCTTACAGTGATGTGGACGTTAAGATTCTTGTAATATATTAGCCTACTAACTTGAACATGGTTTGTTTTTTCAGACAACTTGATTTTAAGAAGAACGGTACAATGTAAGGTTTCAAGTCTGCCTGATCCCGTTTAAAGCACAAGGGCTAAAAGGATTTTTTTCCCTTAAAAGAAGGATCGGAAAAGAGCAAATGCGTTAAGCTATTGTATTATGTAAACAGAGATCCCAGCAAGAAAGTGTGAATGCGATAGGTGTCCGTGACAGTTAGGGGACCCGTTGGGTGTGCCTGTTTCCTACGAGACCAGAGAGCTTCGTGGACTGCATACAGTCGGGTTATGCATTTGGTTTTTAAAAAGTCATTTCGTATGGGGAATATGGCTATAATGTGAGTTTTTTCAACATCTTAGTGTCTGCTGGCTTGAAGTATAAGAAAATGGTAACATTCTGCTATTTTTCTTGCAAAAAAACACTTTAATAATGTGGGACTACGCAAAACAACAGTCATAATTTCCTCTTGGTTGCTGGCTGACTTGACCTAAGTCACTGCTCAAACTCTGTTTTCATAATATGATGGTTTGGGTGTACTCTGCAGAAGACGAGTGTCTGGCTTGCGGGAAACAAGCAAGCGCTGAGCCGTTTGCAAACAAGTTGTCTCTTTGCAATTGTCTAATATATGCACAGCAGCCAGTAGAATTCCCCTTTTTATTTTTTTTTCCCCGCAGACCATCTTGATTCAAAACATCTATCGTAATCCCCAAAACAGTGCACAGACGGCTGACGGCTCACACTGTAAGTCCCACAGTTGGAGAAATTTTTTTAAAACGATGGTGTTAAAGAGCCCACTCTTAATTGAGACAAATAATGTTGGCTTCTGAGCTGCTGACATAGAGCTGTTGCAAACAGGACAAGGTGCTGGAAGTCCTTGGCGTGTACAGCAAGAACTCGATACTTGGCCGTTTTCAGCAGGCTGACCTAGGGAGGGCTGCTGGCCGGGTCCCTTCCCTTGGTTGATGTTTGTTAACAGGAAGGGGTCCGTCCAAGCGACATTTGAACTTGATCAGCCAATCATTGGTCTTTACAGTGACTGAACCTCTGGCATTTATTAAGTTCTTTCTGTAAGATTAACAATCTTAGGAATATTTAGGAATCAGGTAAGTAACCCAATAAGTGTGGGTTTTATTTCACCATTATAATTTTTCCTCTAGGAAGTGGAGATTCCATGATATGTAATTATTGTATTTCTCTAATACAGTCATTCCGTCATCAGTTTATACAGACACTTTCTCGGTCGTCCATTAAAAGTTTTCTGTGACATCTAAGAAAATTGGTGGTAGCCTGCCAAGTTATTTGCACTCTGAACTGGCTCAGAACTTTGGGATGGACAGTTGTCCCGCTCTGCGAACGGAAATACAATGCTGGCATATCATGGGGTCTCTGTACAGCGCAGTGTAGGGCTCCGAGACAGCATCAGCTAAGAGTTCGTCTCTGCCTCGACAGAAATAACTTCCTCTTTTTTCAGCACTGAGTTGACTGAAGCGACCGCCACAGGAAACCGGTTAAGTGTTTACATTTAATTTTCCATAATATAAAGTTGTTGCGTTTTGTATTTCAGACCATTGCCCTCTTGAACATTTACCGTAACCCTCAAAACTCTTCCCAGTCTGCTGACGGTTTGCGCTGTAAGTTCATACAAGTTCCTTCCCTGGTCCCCCGGGCTTGCGTGTCAGAGCTCAGCGTCCGCGCCGCCTGGTCTGCCGCTGTAGCACGGACGCTCCCACTAGAGGCGTCAGAGCTTTTGTCCCACTGACCCGTGGGAACCTCTTTTGAGAGTGGACCTCCTGCCCCCCGTTGAAGGAGGAAACGGCCGCGGAGGGCGCTCTTCACCGAGCTCGGAGCTGCTGCTCCTCCCCCTGCCCCGTCACCCGACAGGACACTGCCCGTGGAGCGCGTGCTTCCCTCTGAAGAGCAGGCGCTGAGAGCTCGCTCCCTGGAGCAGCAGGGTGTTCTGGGATCGCTTTCAGATCCCGTGCATCAGGGCTCCCCTTCCTCTCCACCGTGGAGCTCGTGCTCTGGCGGCGACAGCGGCGTTCTGAGAGGTGCCCTGACGCCCCCTCCGAGCTGTGCGGCCCGAGTCCTCCCGCCCCGTGCCGACTCGGTCTGTGACAAGACGACGGAAAGGTCTCCAGCCACGGGAGTTGGTGCTCAGTGGGGGGGACGCTGTGGACTGGGCTTTCGGAGGACAGTACCATTTCTCCCTGAGGCGGTAAACGCTCAGCTTCGAATATCATGTTCACTGAGGGCTAGAGGATGGGATACACGTTAGCATCGTTGAAGGTTCACAAAACTAAAATTTAAACTTCAGCATCTTGGGCTGTAGAAGCAACGTAGTCACCTGTGGGTACACTGGAACGGATGTCCCGGACTCTTGTTAACATCAAGGGCTCCGAACCAGGTGGGGCACTCCCCTTCACCCGTTTGTTTTGAAGCCGTACCCATGAGCAGACGGCGCGAGCGCCAGGTACCCTGGCAGCCACGGGCCTCAGTCCCGTGCACCCTGAGCCCGGAGCCCCTCACTTTGTGGGTGACCTGCACCAGGCAGAAGGGCCACGGCAGCCACCACCCGCTCGTCCGGGCCACGCGCTGCGAGGCCCCCGGGCGCGTGTGCCTGCGGGGCGGGGGGCCCTCCTGTCAGCTTTTCCTGCCCAGATGCTCAACGGCCACCACCGACACTGACCCAGTAGCGGAGAACTTTGCCCGAACCTGACGGTAGCAGGATTGACCTGGTAGCCCTTGGTTTGAAATACCTGGTTTGGTTCTTTTTTGGAGAAGAGTGGGTGGAGGGAAGTCTTTATATGTGGACTTAACTAATTGTCACAGCAACGCTGCCCTGGGGCAAAACTGAATGGAAAGTAGGCGCTGCTGTAACCACACTTCACAGTTCTCTGCCCTGCTTGTTTCCTGGGGACCGAGGGTGCTTTCCGGGCTAAGGGGTGTCGTGTTAGTGTTCTTTGTGTCTTCATTTGCAGTTTACAGTGCTCTGGTTCTGCGGATGCTACAAAGAGCTTAGCTCTGCTAAATAGTCCCATTCTGGAGTTCAGATCCTACAGATTACATGACGTTCCTGCGCTGCAATTTAAGAAAATCAGTTTAGTTCCTTAGCAACAGATCCTGCCAGTAACATTTCAACCAGCGAGGTTCATTGACTTCCTAAAATTGGTGGTTCTTTTGAACGTACCCTTTCATATATATAAAAAGTAAACTTTCTATGCTTGGGTTAAGCTTAAGTAACAAAACCCAGTTTGAGAACGTTTCTGTAACAGAACTGGGTGTTTTTTCAAGTTGTATTATTTCAAATATATTGACTCATAAATAATTTTTTAGTGATTAGATTTTTAATCACTAATTTATGCCTTTCAAGTCAGTTCGTTTGACTCAAATACTTTAAGCAAAGTATTGAAGTTAAAATGTGCCCACTACCAAGCATCTCAAATACGAGCTTTCCAGAAGTTACCGGAACATGATACTTCGTGTTGCACGTGGCGATAGGAATGGCAGGGACGCAGCCGGTGTTCTCGCCACCACCAGGCGTGAGGCTCAGTGCTGCTCGGCCTTTGAGCACGTAGCTGTTTTCTCTCTGTCCTCAGTTCTCCCGACGTGGAGAAGGAATTGAGTAAACGCTCCGACCTGCCCTTCGCAGGGGCCGCTCTGACGAGCTCCCCCGGTTTCCACTGGGGAGGGTGTGTTCACGGTGCGTTTGCGGGTGGGACCGGCTGTCTAGAGTAGCTGTTGCCCGTATTCAGTAAATGTGGGGTTCTAAAGCGAGCTGGACTCCCAGAAATTCAAAAACAACTAAAATTCGGGGAAGGCCCATCCCACCGTTACCACGGGTCAGAAAGTGAATTGAAGTCCCTCTCCATCAAAAGATTGAAGTTCGTAGCCTTAAAGATAGAACGCGCTTGGGACAGCTAGGGGACTGCAGAGGCAGCAGTGTGGAGGCAGCCTGTGCCACAGCCCGGATGCCCGTGGTGCACGTGGCCCACGGACGTAACGACTGAGGACTAAGCTGGCCCGGCCTCGGGCCTTCCTGGGCCCCCTGGCCTCGCTGTTTGGGACACGAGTTTATTGCCCTGCCAGCTTTGTGACTGTTCAGACTTAGGTTAAGAGAACTCGGAAATTTGGCAGAGAGATTGATAATAGGAGTAGAGTGTAAATTTGCAAAATCCGCCAACAGAGCGGACCTGATTTCAGTTGGGGCACATGAATTAAGACGAGGAAACGTGAAGGAAATAGTTTGGGAATGCAACGTAAGAATGCTCGCTTCAGCAAAGCGTTGTAGCTTTCCCTTTATTCAGAGGGCGTTCAGAATACTTTGATTGACCTTGGTGACCGTCTTGAGTATTTATGGTCATTTGGGTTTTAATTGCAGGGGAATTTTCTAGCATTCCGTGCGGCTGCTAAACGGAAAGAAACTAGTCAGGGGCCTAAGCTTTGAATCACTTGCCCTGACTCAGCTTTCATTTTAACCTGATAAAGGGGAAAAGATCAGGGTGGGTCCTCGGCCTCTATTTGAAATGTTGAGAGGAAGAAAGTTTTCATTAAAAAGGTTTTTGAGAGTCAGCTTTTTCCTCACACTTGCTGGAAATGCGGCCCGGCCCTTCGGTGCTGATTAAAGCGTGTTGCGATTCTGCTAGCCAGCGTTGAGACGGGGGCGCTGCAAAGCCCCGCCACACCCAGGGCCTTGATGGGGCTGTGTGGCGGTCCCCTCGGTGCTGCGCTAGACGGCAGCCCTGTGGGGGTCTCTAGATAACCGAGCGTGTGTCACTGGCAGGGCGATGGGAGCACGGGCGCCCGCGCTGACCAGCAAGGTTTCTGTTGTCGGCAGGTGCCGTGAGCGACGTCGAGATGCAGGAGCACTACGACGAGTTTTTCGAGGTGAGAGCGGCTCTTGGCGACGGGCAGCCTCGCCGCCTTTTGTGTCGGAGGAATTAAAACTCGTCCGCTAGGGAAAGTACCCAGAGGTGAGTTAGGCTCGTGTCATGCCCCTGCAGGAGGTGTTCACAGAAATGGAGGAGAAGTACGGCGAGGTGGAGGAGATGAACGTCTGCGACAACCTCGGGGACCACCTCGTTGGGAACGTGTATGTGAAGGTGCGCGGGGGCTGTGCCTGGCGGCCTGGCGGGCGGGGTGCGGTGCTGTGGCGGGCGGGGCGGTGGTTGAGGGTGGGCAACGGCGGCGGCTGGGGTCCACCGTCGTCCTCCACGTCCAGTGTCCTCGTGGCTGCCGGGCAGAGGCTGTCGGAGCTGGGGCGAAGCTGCCGTGTGTGTTCGGTTTCCTTCGCCCGCGCACGTCCTTGCGTTGGCTCTTTTAACCAAGCGGGTCGGGAAGCCGAGGTGACGCGTTTGGCCCGGTCTCGGATGCCGCGGGTTCAGGAACCTAGTTGTAGACAGAGGGTCGCCTGACCCGTAGCTGCTCCGCGGCGGCGTCCCAGCCCGGCGCTCGGCCCGTGGGACCGCACAGAGGGGTGGCGAGCGCTCTGTCGCCTCGTTTCAGTTCCGCCGTGAGGAGGACGCGGAGAAGGCCGTGATCGACCTGAACAACCGCTGGTTCAACGGGCAGCCCATCCACGCCGAGCTCTCGCCCGTGACCGACTTCCGGGAAGCCTGCTGCCGCCAGTATGAAATGGGGTAGGTGGGGTCTCCGGCGGGGCGCGGGGCACAGGGCGCGGGCGTGGGGTGCCGGGAGCGGCAGTGCGTGGTGACGGCGCCCACTGTCCCCGCAGGGAGTGCACGCGAGGCGGCTTCTGCAACTTCATGCACCTGAAGCCCATCTCCAGGGAGCTCCGGCGGGAGCTCTACGGTCGCCGGCGCAAGAAGTGAGTGTCACCGCGTGTCCGTCGTGACGCGTCAGCAGTGGTCGCTGTGTCCCCGTTGTGATGCTGTGTCGCAGTATTGTGTTTTTTTCCAAGTGAAACTTGGCCTTAGTGTCATTTACATTCTTTAAAAGGCACCGCTTAGAACGTAGTGCACGTTTTGAAGTGTAAAAACACGCTCTTCAAAGAGGTCTGTGTGCACGTTGGCTTAAGTAGAGGGCGAACCTCAGTAACTGACGAGGGGACCGGGTTCTGTCGGGCCGGGTGGGTTATTGGCTTTGGCCCTGCGGACCGCCAGCAGAACGGAGCACAGCTGTGTGTCTGGTCCTGCTGTTTAAATCGGACAGCTGTCCCACTCAGCGCCCCGATGTCGGAGGGCACGCTGAGTCGCTCTTCCTGCGTAGATGGGGTTTTGACCCTGGAGGGTTCTCGTTTCTCGCCTGTTAAGCCCACGAGGCAAAGCAGGCGTGTGCGAGCCTGTCCTGGTGTCACAGAAAGCAGCGTAAGAGGAAGGGGACCCTGCCCTCCCCCCCCCAGAAGTCAGCCCAGAGGACACCGTTCCTCTCAGTTCCGGGGTGCCCTTTAATCTCGGACACAGGAGCGTCCGAGGCCGGGCACAGCTCAGCTGCGGCCTGCACCCGCTTGGCAGCCTTTTCCCGTTACTGGCTTCAGTTCGACGAGGTGCAGTGTCCGAACGCGTTAGTCGCTGGCCTCCTGTTGCACGGCTCAGTTCGGATGTCAGGGTTTGTTTCTTCCCCTTTCTTGCAGGCATCGGTCGAGGTCCCGGTCCCGGGAGCGGCGCTCTCGGTCCAGAGACCGTGGTCGTGGCGGCGGCGGCGGCGGCGGTGGCGGCGGCGGTGGACGGGAGCGTGACCGGAGGCGGTCAAGAGACCGGGAGCGGTCCGGGCGGTTCTGACCGTGCCGTTTTTACCGTACGTCTGCTAGAGAGTTGTAGTCGATTGACCAAACCAGTTCATAATGGGAATTTTTTTTAAAAAACAACAAAAAAAAACAAAGATGGGTTTCTGAATAAAATTTGTAGTGACACAGTACTCTTGGTGTTACTGTCTCGTGGAACGCCCACGGCGCTCTTCCTTTGCAGCCTGCACAGCCTCAGTCCTCGAGGTCAGGGTCAGTGTCCGCCATTGTCTTCGAAAAGCAATAAAACTGTGTTTCTACATTTAGGATCTGAACTGAAGCACTTACCAGTTGAGGGAAAATTCACATGGGCAAAACTCAGACCTGTTTCTTGTTAGCTGCTTACTAGGGAGTGATCCAGACTCTCTCCCGAGGCCGAGGAGCCCGTGTGGAAAGCCCAGGGTCTCTTCCTTGGCCGGGCCCTAAGCGGAGGACAGCGCTGTCATGGGGCGGCTGTCAGGAAGGGGGCGGCCGGCGCTGCATCCCCGCTCCGTGAGAGCTGCCATCTGTCCCAGAACGCGAGTGCACGTTACTCAGGAACGAGCTCGGTGCAGCCACCGGTCACAGCGCACGTGTCAGGGCTGCCACTGCGTCCTCAGACCATCCGGTTCAGGTAGACTCGCAAGCCCTCCGGTGTAGATCCGCCCTCTGCGAACATCCCTGTCTGCTGTCACTTCCCCGAGCCGTCTCCGTCACAGTGCCGGGGAGGGAACGGTGGTGTCAGGCATGCCTCACCCCGGCTGGGAGCCGGACTCAAGAGTCGACCCTGAGGCGGCGCACGTCCTTATTGGGCACCATGTGCTCTATTGTGACAGCTCCAAGCTCGGCGAGGGTCCTCGGCGCTTTCCCACGTAGCGCCCTCGTGTCTGCCCGTGTCTTGCTGTGCTGGGAGGAGTTCGGGGAGCCAGAGCTAAATCCCGCTCTTGGCATGGGAGAAAACGTCACTGGTGTCACCTGCCGCCACCACACACCAGTCAGTGAGTGGAAGGGAGTGTTCCTCCCATGGTCAGGGTGCCCATGGAAGGCTTTATGTGACTGGCAGTGGCTTTGTCCCAGTGTGGTCTCTGGTGAAGTTAGGTTTCACCTGCTTTTTGCAGGAGTGGGCAGATGATTTCGGATAAATTAGTCCAGTTTTGAGTTGGTGATCTAGAAAGTTCTTTTTGAATCATATTCTCCACACTCCAAAAAAGTCTGTACCGATACTTGTTTTTCTACCTGAGTTTGGTCAAAGTTGTAGAGATGATGAGTCCTTTCCCCTGCATCCGAGGGAGGGAATGTGGCAGAATGTTGCTTTATGTTTCTTCACTTTTGATTAGTGTCACCTTTCCCCTGAAGGTATATATTTAAAACGTGAATAGAAATCCATCAAAGGTGCTTCCGCACTGCCACTGAGGCGGGAAAGGCCAGCTCGCAAAGCGGAGTCGGCATGCGGCCCCTTCCCCTCCTGCTCCCTCCGCCCCTGACGCTTGTCTGCAGTGACGGGAAGCTGAGAGGCTTTGACCCAAAATGCCCGTGACGAGTTGCTGCTGAAATATAGTATCAATCCTCTTGTTTTAACAGTCATGTTGAATTATCTCATTTTTGCAGCTTTTTGTGCTTGCCGTTTTGACACAGTAGGCATAACAAACAAGCTTACTGGAGCACGAGTCCCCAGTGGTCAGCTAGAGGTCATCCTGAATATTTCTAACTGGCGAGCGCAGTGGCCAGGACCCTGCTGATTGCTGAAAATTCACTTCCTGTGAGCGATGCTGGAGAAAGGACAGTGGCACATGCCACCGCAGTGTCTAAGCTCTGGTCGGGTCTCGCCGTCACTTCTCAGTTCGGGATGCCCTATTTCCCAAAGGGGACGAAATGGCAGGTGCTTTCTCAGACGAAGGAGGCTAGGTTCAGGGACAGAAGTCGTCTGTACCGCAGATGCACTTCTGGAGGCTTGGGGACGGGAGCTCAGCCTTGGTACCTCAGAACGTCACATGGGACTTGAGTGTGGCTACCCGGAGTGTTTGGCTTCGTTTTGTCTGCTGGTCCCCAGAACATGTAAATGTCCCAGAGGAACAGACCTGGCAATCAACGTAAGTGGCTTCTCAACTTCTAATTTGCCAAGCGGGACTTTTTTTTGCTGTCATCAGATTTCACCACCGTTTCATGGAAGCTTTTTAATTTTTTATTATGGGAAATTTTAAACATGCGGCCCTCCAGCGAGCAGCGCCCAGCAGCGCCCGCCCACTCACCGAGTTGCCTTTGGTCTGAGGTCCGGCAGCCCCAGGCCCGGCCGGCATCCTCGGGAGGTGGGGGCGGACGTATGTGCGCGCGTCAGAAGTGAGCACCTGACGTTCCAGCTGGTGTTTCCGGACAAAGATGAGCAAGGCCTCTACCGGGGGACACGGACGCTCCCGTGGGAGGCGGGTGGGCGACCAGGTGCCGAGACCAGCAGGCGGCCTGGGGAGACCTCAACGAGTAGACGAGTCCTACTCCCCAAATCAAAAAGAATGAAGTAGGAATAAGTTCAACCGAGACCTGTACGCTGAAAATCAAAACATTGCTGAGAGAAACCGAAGTCCCAAACAGCGGGGAACCACTGGCTTCACGGCGGGGATGGAGGCCTCGTCCCCCGGCCGTCCGCCCATTCAGTGCAGTCCCCCTCAGCTCCAACAGCCTCTCTGCAGAAAAGGAAAAGCTGACCCTAAAATTCGCATGGCGTTGCGGGGGACCGCACACAGCCCCGCAGTCTCAGACAACACTGGCCAGCTCGCACTTCTGATTCGAAACCTTGGGGGCAAAGTCGGCGTAAAGAAGCCACTGTCACCAGGAGGTCAGCAGAGTGGAACTGAGGGTCCAGAAAGAAGCCCCTGTGCTGACGGTCAGTTGATTGACAAGGGCGCCGAGAGCAGTCGATGGAGGAGGAGGGTCTCTTCTAATGGGGCTGGGACAGCTGGTCGTCTACAAGCAAAAGCGTGGAACTGGACTCCTGCCTCGCACCATATACAAAACAGCACTCAGAATGGGTCAACAACCTAAATACGAGAATTGGAACCATACAACTCGCTGAAGGAAAGGCGGGGTAAATCCTGAAGACCTTGGATTCTGCAGTGGTTTCTTAGATGTGACTCCAAAAGCACAAGCAACAAAAGGAGATAGATAGATAGATAGATAGATAGATAGATAGATAGATAGATAGATAGATAGATAGATAGATGGAAATTCATCAAAATCAAAAGCTTTTTGCATCAAAGACACTATCAAAAAAGTGAGAAGACACCCCACAGCATGGAAGAAAATATTTGCAAATCATGTATCTGATCAGGGTTTAGTGTCCAGAATATATAAAGGATTCCTCCAGCTCAACAACAAAAAGACAAACACCCAATTTAATGACAGAGTAAGGCCCTGAATCGACATTACTCCAAAGACACAGAGATGGCCAACAAGCACGTGAAAAACACTCATTTGTCAGCAGGGAGATGCAAATCAATACCACAGCAATCAGATCCCACTCCACACCCAGGAGGGTGGCGAGGATCCAAACGACAAGTGACAGCAGGCGTGGGGAGCGCGTGGGCAAACCGGGACTCTCCTGCGTCCCCGGAGGAGACGTGAACGGTGCGGCTGCCGTGGACGCGGTCTGGCAGGTCCTCATAAGATTGCAACAGAAGCACCAAGTCTGCGGCCACGCCCCCCTGAACAAGCCCGATCCCATCTGATCTCGGAAGCCAAGCAGAGTTGGTGCCGTAGGCATAAAAAATTAAAAAAATAAGGGATTGTCAGCTGACAAGGTCCTTGCAATCTAGGAGGTCAACCAAGGGTTGCCTCGCCTAAAAAATTAAAAAATAAAAATGATAAAATAGAAGCATCGTGTGACCCGGCAATTCTACTCGTGGGCTGCGCCCAAGAGAAATGAGAACATTCACACGAAAACATGCACCCCGTGTGCGTTCACAGGAGCGTGATCACAGCGGCCACAGGCGGGAGCAGCATACGTGTCCACCAGCGGACGGACGCATGAATGAGGGGTGGTGTGCCCCCACGGCGACCTTCACTCATGTGGTGTGCCCGCATGGTGACCTTCACTCATGTGGTGTGCCCGCATGGTGGTGACCTTTACTTCACAATAAGAAATGAAGTACTGATACATGTGACGACATGGACAAACCTCATGACGTGCCAAGTGGAGAGAGGCAGTCACAAAGGGGACACGAGGGGAGAGTCCATTCATACGAAACGTCCTGGGTAGACAAATCCGGGGAGACCGAGCAGCCAGGCGGTTGCCAGGGCTGGGGGTGGAGAAGGGTGGTGTGGGGTGATGGCCACGGGGTCTGCCGTGAAGCTCACTGTGTCGATGGCCACCCAGCTCTCAATGTGCCCGAAGCCGCGGAGTCATACACTTTAATGGTGCATTGTATGCACGAACCGTATTGATAAAGCTGTTCCAAATAAAAAGTTATCGAGACAGGAAATAGCCTTTATTTTTGTGTAAAATAGTGTTCGTAAAGTTCATCCTTCAGGAAAGAGGCGCAGGATACTGTCTACGTTGTGGAGATAAAACACCCTAAGAATAAAAAATGACATCGCCAGCGGCGGCCTCTGAGACGGGAACTGGGGTGGGGACGGGCGCCGCTGACCTTCCCAGCTGTTGCCTTGTTTTCTGTGGATGAATCGTTGCCTCCCCCCGATCTGTGCCTGGAAGACCCAGCCGCAGGTCCCGCCCGTCCCCCACCTCCCAGGTGTGTCCCCCTTGGCTGTCTCAATCGCGTGCCAATGCCTGAGCTGCAGACCCTTCCACCGGCCCTTAGGGACTCGTGCAGTGGCAGCAAACTCCTCCACAGTGGACATCAGCCCTCCCGGGCCTGGATGCTCGCCGGCAGTCAGAGGCCCAGGTGTGGGCGGGCTGGTGTCTCCCGAAGCCCCTCTCCTGGGCCTGCACGTGGTCACTCCCCGCCCCCACCTCACCCCCGCCACCGCGGTCACCTGTGCAGGCACAATCGTCTTCTCACCGGTCACTTTGGTCACTTCGGGCTCGTGCCTGCTGTGGACTAAATATTTGTGTATATCCCCGCCCCACCCCACCCCCACACAGAAGCATTTGTATGTTGAAATCCTGCCCCCCGTGCGGTGGCACTGGGTGGTGGGGCCTCTGGGAGGGAGCAGGTCCCATGAGGGATGAGTGCCCTCTGGAGAAGGCCGGGGGAGAGCTGTCCTCCCGCCTGGCACGTGGGAAAACGAGCAGGAAGACTTTCAGACGGCGCATTGGAACAGGGGAGACAGAGGGCTCGACTCGGCATACGACAAAGCGGGGAGCAGAGTGGGGTGTCCCCCAGCTGTGTAGATTCTCACTAAGCCCACCTAGCAGGGTTCCCACCGAAGGCAGGCTAAGGGAGAGGGGTGCGGGGTT